CAGTACCAAGCTCTATTAAGAAGTGAAGCTGTCAATTTACACCATTATTTAACAGAGCTCAGAAATGTTACTGACCAGGCCTGGGTGTACAGTATAAACCACCTAAAGTACCGCATAATGTTGCTACTTGTCTACTGACAGCAGTATGTTCAATTTTCTTTTGCAACCTTTAAAGAGAAGACACAAAAGGGGGCAAGTGGCAAAATTTTCCTTAAATGTTCTCTGTAACTGGCCTAAAATCCAATCCATCCACACATACTTGAATCCCTTCAAAGACTATCCTTCATGAGTTGAGCTCTCTTTTCAGGAACATTTTACCACTATAAAAAATGAGTGGTGAAAAGTGCATTTATGAGGAGGCCATATTCTTTATTTTATTATATTATATCTGTCTGGTCCTGTCTCTTGCACCCCAGCTTCTGCTTTGTCCTCATGTGAGCTGCTGGCTTCTTAACAGGGATTCGACCAGCTGAGGATAGAGGGATTACTCTGCGATGTTACACTGCTGCCTGGAGATGGAGATGAAGCATTTCCTGTTCACAGAGCAATGATGGCGTCTGCTAGCGATTACTTTAAGGCAATGTTTACAGGTAAGATAAATAACTTATGGTAAAAAAAAATCTATTTCCAGTAATAATAATAATAAAAGTTTAAATAGAGCTGGCCTTTGGAAATCCCTACTGTATGGATAGCAATCCGGTAATATAATATACTGACTTCCAGTACTGTATATACCTTAAGACTTGATCCTGGAAAAATACACTTTAACATTCTGTGTCAAAGTTTCATTCATCTCATAAATTACATTTTCTTTCTTTTAGTATAATATAAGCGAATATGTAGTTTTTAAGATGTAAAAATCAGTGGCTGTGGAGTCTTTTCAAGTGTGAGTGAGAGTGTGAGGGAGCAGAAATTTGAAGCAAAGGGGAAGAGCTTTTGATAAGCATCATAACAGGGCTCCCACATCACATCATGCATTGTATCAGCACTGTTGATCACTTGCTTGTAACATACAGACAGTGTAGATTGTATATCTAGGACTGGTTTGTGTGCAGATGTTGAAAATGGGTCTTTCTGCTACTTCTTGAATGTTGGCTCTTGATTTGTTTTAGAAGAAAAATGTGTTTCCTGATGATGTGCTGCTTTAGGTTTGGGTAAATCTGCCTTACCTTCTTAAATCCAATTTCTTTGTCTAACCAAACATGATATAGATATATATGGCTGAAGAATAAATCCAATGAATTCCAAGCAATAACATTTTATAAAGTGTTTTGTATTTTCTGATAATATCTTTGTATGCCGTGTAGATGCATGTTAGCTTTTGGAATGTAGTTTTGTAACAAGATTGATAGCCTTAGAAGCACAGATTTATCAAGTGCAATTTCTGTTTTAAGTATCTTGTGCTTTTATCAGTGACTGTGGATATAAATATTGCTTGCCTCTGTAGTCTTTTTCCAAAGAACTCTTTCACAGTACAGTGTAATATGAAAAGATAGTGGAAGATAATGATTTTATCTTCATTATGTCTCTATATATTATTCTAATTATTATTATTCAGAAGGCAAAGTTGCAGTTTACACACACTATTGTACTGGTAGAATAGGAGAATATTCTGTCAGGATGTGCTATCTGTCCAGTTGTCTGTCTTTGGCTCAACAAAAGTGGGGAAAAAAATTATAATTAGCTCTGACTGCATTCACCTGAAATTTTGACTCTTCTGTGGACAAAATGCAAGGCACAATCACTGTATGTCAGTTGTTTATTAAGAGGAAAATTATATCGGTTTCCTTATTCATTAAGATTTGACTTAATGTTTTTCAACATATTTCACAATAGCCTTCTAATATAACCCAAAAGCACCAAGCAGGAAGACCCAATGCACATATTTGGATATTCAGCAAGCAATGTGTAAGGAATGTGTTAAAGATTTTCCCATCAGACTTCATGTGATGTATACTAATGGATCAATTTTTAACTTCTTATTGGCAAAGAAAGAAATGCTTTATGCTGAATTTCAGGATGTTCTACATGACATTGGGAAAAAAATGGTGCTCAATTTCAAAAATATTTGAAAACATATCTAATTCTAAAAGCCTTTAAAATTTTAAAAATAAAAATATAGGCTACACATGAATTGCATTCATTGTTATGTTTTAGGTAAAGGAATTCAGTGAGGGTCTGGTGTGAGACCCAGGAAGTCCTCAGGCCCTGACCACACACACATCCTGCTACTACACCAAAATAGTCTTCTTGGAGGAGAGCAGTAGATCCAAGCTTTAAGCCCTTTCTAATAATTTTTACCAGGTCAGGCAAAGATATAGGAATAACCCTACTGGAGATCTTGTCTGTTTGGGACTAAGACACCACATTGAGCATTTGACTTACAGAACCATTCTACTGGAAGGAGACTAGTCCCTTCTATCCAAGGATGGATTTCAACAGAAGACCTCACAAAAAAATACTACCCTTGTGTTGTCTGTTCTCAAGCATAGCGAATCAGAAATTGAATTTATTTAAACTATTTGATGCCTCCTGTTAATGCTTATCCTGACATTTTATTGCCAAGAAAAAAGTCACTAGAAAAAGAACATGTTTTTGTTGGATATCTAGTTTGATTTTCTGAGTTTTTATACCATACAGTAGCTTCAGAGAATATTGTTAAACAATATTGTTTTGGCAAGATCTTTAACCCTTCATTCCCTTGCTGCTTTCACCTTTAATGTACTTTTCACAGTGAAGAGGATTCAGCCCAGCCTTTCACAGCCTCTTCTGCAAATTGTGTGATCTTGATCACAGAAACCCATTTCATTTGTGTTGTGTGCACATAACCCTTAAAATATTAAATTTTAACTTATTTTGAAATTGTAATTCATCAGGTTTTTAAAAGTTTAGTTAATTATTCATGTAGCCAATAAATACTGTACAAAACAAATGAAGAACAGAATAACGGACCATTAAATGTATCCTCTTTTTCCTTGTATCTCCTAGGTGGAATGAAGGAACAAGATTTAATGTGCATCAAACTTCATGGTGTTAACCGAATAGGCCTCAAAAAGATCATCGACTTCATTTACACAGCAAAGCTCTCTCTTAACATGGAGAATCTGCAGGATACACTTGAAGCTGCAAGTTTTCTGCAGATCATTCCTGTCCTAGACTTCTGCAAAGTGTTTCTTATATCTGGGGTAAGACTCTTTTCTTGTCATCATCTAAAGCCTCTTCCTTTCAATCAGTGTTTAGTACAAAACAGAATGTAGTATTTGGTCTTAATCTAGTTAATGTTGATGAGTGCTGCCTCAGTTTTTATTTATGTCTTATACAGGGAAGCACACTCATAACATGTTGATGTATTCAAGATTTAACAAGCTTGAGGCTCTTGTACAAACTACCCTTCAGATGCAAAATTCCTTCTATTCAATAGTATTTGAACTTTTCTAAGCATTAGTTTATGGCAATCAAAGTAGAAAGATTGAAATCTAATGCATCTGGTAATGAGCCTATACAGTAGATTCCTTACGTTTCTTTTTGAACATATGTCAATATTTCTAAGGCTGTCATTGGTTCGGTATGTTTGCACATTAGCATGCAAACAAACAGCATCCCTTCTATATCTATTTGCTAGGCTTTTTGGACTACCTTTTAGATCTGTTGTGCTGCATGGCTATTGAACATTTATTGATAAGGAGGTTAATCACATTTATTATTGGGTAATTCTGGACTGGAGTTGGTAGCTTTAGGAGGTGAGTTGTACTGCAGTGCTTCTACACATATATATGCATATACTGTATTCATCTGCCTGTTTAAATCTGTTCCCTTCCTCTGGATAAAAAAGGCCTTTTTTCCCTTGTGTTCAGGATGCGTTAGAAAGAAGCATTCAAATATCCTTTAATGTGATGAAAAACGTATTAAGCTGTAGTTCTCGAGCTGCCTCTTATTCCATATTCCTTAAGTCATATTATAATCGCTCTTTCAGATAAATGTGAATTGCATACTAGATATTTGAGAGAACTTGAATGCATGGTGACCAGATCAGACCTGACATTCATCTTGAATCTAATGAGCAGTTTATTTTGACTAGGCTGTTCTGTGTATTGGCTGTTATAAGCAATTGTCATAAAGCTACAGGGGCTCCTACCTCTGAGGCTCAAAGGCTTCCCTGCAAAATAGGTCAGGATGCGGCTCCTGGCCTGCCCCTTGAGTTTGTCACTGAAAGTTTTTTTTCAGTTTAAGTCTTCTTGCTCCTTGCATCAGCTGAAATCTGTCTTACTGATTTGAAAATCTGTTGAACAGAACAGGAAAACATTGATGCTTTAGTTTAAGATGCACATGTGCCCAGCAAAGAAGAAGCACTGCTGCTGATTAAAAGTAACCATTAAAAGTAGCTGCTACACATTAGCTTTGCATACAGTATTTTTGTGTGACAACAAAATACTCCTGCATTTCAGATGGGTGGGGGAAAAAAAAACTTAGAGAGAATCTTCTCCTGAATGTACTGTACATATGGACTGTTCTGAGGTGTTAAAGAGACTTTCTAAAATGCTGCACGAAGTGTGATTAATTTCTTTTTATTGTCACATGTTCATCTTCGGGAACCATACTAAAAGAAAAGCAAACCCAGGCCCAATTAAATATTCATAATTGGCATCAGTTGCTGCCTGTAGACAAGAAAAGGAAGGTATTTCCTGTTACTAAGAGTAGTTGATTCAGCTTGATACCTGCTGGAATGTGACAGTTGTAATCCTAATATCAAGTAAATTTCATTTTCTTACTACTGTTCCTGAAATATGCATCCTCACACACAAAAACAGAACATTCGTTTCATGAACTGTCCTTGGGTGGATATTTTATAAGTCCATTTTAAATTAATAATAATAATAATTTTAAATTCCTGTATTCTACCAGAATATGTATTTATTTCAGGTGGGTAGCTGCGTCAGCATGCGTAGGCTGCAAAGGAACAAGTAATAGGTTTATTCCATGCTGAGAAAAAGAAGAAAGAGAACACAATGTTTCGCCGTGGAGCCTTCTGAGGACGGACAACATCTGCGTGAACCTGTTACTCGAAGCCAGCAATTACGAAATGATACCCTTCATGCAGCCAGTGATGCAGTCAGAAAGGACTGCTATCCGATCAGACAGCACGCACCTGGTGACGTTGGGCGGGGTGTTACAGCAGCAGCTGGTCGTGAGTAAGGAGCTGCGACTGTACGACGATAAAGCCCACTGAAGGCTCTATGGCCGAAACGTTGTGTTCTCTTTCTTTTTTTTTCAGCATGGAATAAACCTATTACTTATATATTTATTAGATGTTGATGCATTTTGTGAAAAAAAAGCCTCTGCATATATTTCAGTAGTATTATTTGTTCAAAATGAACCACTTGTAAAGTGCAAGAATTAGGCCAAATAACATTTTTTTTCATCAAGGTTATTACTTGAATTGACAGTAAAATTATTATTGCTTGTCCTTTATCTGTAGTCCCTTTTTTACTGCTTGAAAGACACAAAGTTAAAATCTCCTTGTCCATTTTAATGTGGAGTTATAGTTCATTGTGAAACCTCCTGAAATTCTTATCACACATAAACTGTATCTCTTTCCTGGGGCGTGTGGAGTACTCTGATGAAACTCATTTCCATTTTCTTGAGATGAATCCTCAGTCATTCGCTTTCATCCATTTCAGAGGACTAGAAAGATTTTTATTATCACAAGGTTTAACATTTTAAGGAAAGCATCCCTCTTTTCCTGAAATATTTCCATTCATTTTTTTATTTATGTATATAAAAAGTCATATCACATATTTTTTTACAAACCATGATGAAACCTTTAACTCAGAATGAATGCTCTCATATTGGTTTTGTCAATTTATTCCATGACTTTACTGTATTTTGTTAGCTTTCTGAACATTTGAGGTGCTCTGGCCCTGATGTGTAAATGGGTGCAGTTAGATGAGATGGGAAAACAGAAAACTTCACCAAAGATGTAATCTTACAGCTTTCATGTGTGTGAAACCCACAACTTACTGTTTTTTTTTCCGTGAATTTCTGTATAGGTTTCACTGGAAAACTGCGTGGAAGTAGGGCGCATCGCAAATGCCTATAACCTTACAGAAGTGGACAAATATGTTAACAATTTTATCTTGAAGAACTTTCCCTCGTTGCTGAGCACTGGCGAGTTTGTCAAGCTCCCATTTGACCGGCTGGCCTTTGTGCTCTCTAGCAACAGCCTGAAGCACTGCAGTGAACTTGACCTCTTCAAGGCTGCCTGCCGCTGGCTTCGGTACGAGGAGAACAGGATGGAGTATGCATCCAAATTAATGAAGAACATCCGTTTTCCCCTCATGAGCCCTCAGGAGCTCATCAACCACGTACAGACCGTGGATTTCATGAGGACGGACAACATCTGCGTGAACCTGTTACTCGAAGCCAGCAATTACCAAATGATGCCCTTCATGCAGCCAGTGATGCAGTCAGAAAGGACTGCTATCCGATCAGACAGCACGCACCTGGTGACGTTGGGCGGGGTGTTACGGCAGCAGCTGGTCGTGAGTAAGGAGCTGCGACTGTACGACGAAAAAGCGCACGAATGGAAGGCTCTGGCTTCTATGGACGCTCCCCGCTACCAGCACGGCATTGCGGTGATCGGCAACTTCCTGTACGTAGTGGGCGGACAGAGCAATTACGACACGAAAGGAAAGACAGCCGTGGACACCGTTTTCAGATACGACCCCCGCTACAACAAGTGGATGCAGGTGGCCTCTCTCAACGAAAAGCGCACTTTCTTCCACCTAAGTGCCCTCAAAGGACATCTCTATGCAGTGGGAGGTAGAAACGCAGCAGGGGAGTTAGGTATGTCTTGTAATTGTAAAATTACCAAGCTTGTTTTTTTTTTTGTCCATTTATTGTTTGCGTTCATACATAATGAATAATGTATCAATGTTGCGAGGTTTCCTTCTGAGTCATGCTCAGGTCAGGATTTTTTTTCCCTTGCAAAATGGCACTTAAATGTGGGATTATTCTCAAATGTTATACAGATGTGTGATATCAGCCATATTATTCTCAATGTGTAATTGGGGGTTTTGGAAAAGATGGTCACATTTCTTTGGTACAAAACTGTATTTGCAGATTTCCTTTTAAAAGAAGTGCCTAAAAAGTAAGAAACCACAAAACAGACAAACATAAAGGAAAATAATTATAGCTCAATGCTTATGTTTTCTGTTTTTTTTCCTGAAAAACCCCAGAGCTTGTTAGAAAACAAATGCTTGCATTAGAATTTGACAATTGGAATTCTGTCTACAAATCCATATATATAATACATGAGCGGACATTTTCACTGCTTTGTGATGTTTGAAGTTTATATTTTATGAGCATCATCAATTTACTCAATACACTCAATACTCAATACTGAATACATCATCAAATTACTCAATAGTGTTTTGTACTATTATAACAACTTTAACAGTTCATAATTTAGATTAGTTTGAGAAAATACCAAGCTCATCATTTGGCAGTCTTTAATTTACAGTGTTCAGAATCGTCCCAAATGTTATCAATGCCTCAAGTTAAAATTATACACGAGCAGCTAATATGTAATGTTGTAGTAGTTATACATTTAGAAATCATGTCTTCATGGTTATTTATATTTTTCTTTCCTCTCTATACTTTTCTAAAGATAAAAGGTTGCTTTTGTACAACAAACTAAAAATCACTCTAGAATTGCTTTTGAATCAATAAAAAAATTGAGTGAAAAGAGAAGGAACAGTGCAAAAAGTCTAAACCCATGAACACTGGTGCACATAAATTAACACACAGTACACCATCAAGACAGCAGAAATCCTATCTGACATTCCCATAGGGTGTTGTAGATTAACCTTGTGGTGTATCCTCTGGTGTTCTGCTAAGTCAATGTTTATCTAAGCAGATCTATATGCTTGTAAACATATAAATATACATTCCCATGCAAGAAGATAGGCTTGAAGGAAAATAGGAATTGGAAAAGACAGTTAGGTGCTGGTAACCAGTTACCTCATTCAATGACAATAGTAAAGATTTGAATAAAATAATCATCCGTGTTAAACAAATATAACAAATTCACATGTATTGGCTAAAATTTTACATATAATGGGTGAATGCTTTTTATAGTTGAGAAATGTTGAAAGGGATGAATTAAGAAAGGATTTAAATTAAGAAAGGATTAAATACGGTTTCCCCTCAGCAGAAGATATTGAAAGGAATATATCCTGGTGTGGGGAGAGCAGATCACACTGTTGTTCATATGTTCTGTTTGTTGCTATCTGTGCCTTTGTTTATGTGGAATCTAAATCCAAGGACATCACAGTCTCTGCACTTCAGAAGTCCTGTAGTGAGAGCACAGTATACTTGACATTGTCACACAACCTCTGTCTAACTTTAAGATGATGTGGAGTCTTGCATTACACAAAACACTCATGAATTCCCCCTTTTATTTCTTTTTGATTGACTTTTGCAGCCTTTCGTTTCTTAACTTGACGGTCAAACTGAAATTCAGTTTTTTCAAAAGGTGTTAGCACGATTGTGCTAGCAATTATAAATGCTGCCTGTAGGGTCTCCCAGTGCTCTGACAATTTTCGTTTTGGGTTTGTAGTCTTTTCTGTAAGTTCTGTAAATGACCTTTGATGCAGCTACCATTCAATACCAGGGCTATTGGTTGTAGTTTTCTTAAGGTTTGAGATTTGTTAGTTGCTTAAAGTGGAGCATTTTACATGGGAAACATTTCCCTCAGATGGTTGTTCAAACTTAAGATATATACTGTGTCATTATTATTTTAAAACCATATATTTAACAGCAGCATAACTAATTATTCCATTATATTTCAATAATCATAGTTAAAAGCACATTGTCAAGATCATAAAGTGTTTAGTTAGTCCAAAATTCTGTTGTTTTCCAATAACTGAAATGTTTCTTCTAAAAAAAGCTTGCACAGCTGCAGTTTTAATGGGTGCTGCATTCCTTTGCCTGCTAGGGATTGCTGGCTAATTCTGGCCAACTGCTCATCTGTGGAGGCCCTATGCTCTGCATCACTTTTACATGTGCTGCTGGAGGCACACTGAGTCACCAGAAACCTCTCCATAAGCCCACCCACACTGAGGCAGTACCCACCACTCAGTATAAATCAGAGCTTGTATTATTGGAGTTTAGTTAGCTTTAAATTTGTCCATAAAAATTCCTGTCCTCATTTTTCATTTTTTTTTAAATTAGGATTACATCAGGATAGGTTTCTCAAAGAAGGGTCATATTGTTTTGAGGTAAGTCTTTTATTCCATCACCTGATGTAGCTGGCCAGACACTTAGCTCCTTGCGTCTCTCCTCTTCCTTTTGGGAACAGTTTTGTTTCTCCGATCTGATTCACGCCGTCTCTTCAGTGCTTACATGTTCCAAGTCTCTCAACCCAAAAGTGACAGTGCAGGAGCCATGCGTGAATATCTTTTAGCATTAAGGAAATCCTTTGAAACATTAATTTCCAATTTGAGCTGCATCCATTTATTTATCAAATCAAGAACCTTGTAATTAATCACTTGTGGGTAATTATTTTGTCCACAGGGGTCCATATATGCTCAACAAAAAAGTTTATACTCAATTAACCAAAGCAACCAAAAGAGAATTCCTTTGTATGTTATAAAATTATTGCTTGTCACTTGCTTAGAAAATCATCATCAATTTTTTTTAAACAATATACTTTACCTGAGAATTATTTGTAGTAGGTGGCTCTTAGCTTTCAGTAACATCTAATTATGAGTGCTCACCAGCAGAAATAATATATTTGGAGGCAGTGGTCGTATTAATTGCCAGGTTTGGTCAAGCTGAGCTGAGCTCAGACAAACTGGACCTGCATGCAATAGAATTATCATTAGGTTCAGAAAGGCTGGCATAAAAGAGCAACTGAAATTCTTCTTTGATAGAGTTGTCATTCTAGTGGTCTCCCTGACATAGTGACCTACAAGTAATAGTAAGACTTATTTCTTGCCCTTATTTCTAATACAATGTAGAATTCTGAGCTAATTCCAACCCTGCCTACACTATTGTGCAAAATTCTTATACACTATTAGGATTTATAATGTTTGTATGTAATGAACATCAATAATATACTCATAGCTTCCACTAGCATAGAACAGAGTTATAAAAGTAACTTACTTTGGTGAAGATAAAGCACTGCTGAGGTTTCATCCACTTTAGTCTGATTGCGCCAGAACCCAGAAGCTAAGCAGTGTTGGGTCTGATTAATGGTGGGATGGGAGACCTCTAAGGAAAAGCAGTTTGCTGCTGTAAGTGGTATTATTGGACCAGCATGGGCCCAATTGGTGGCCATTATCCCTATGGTACAGAATTTCCAATGCAAAGCCTCACAGTATGATGGCTGGGGAACAGTGCAGTAGGAATGAGGTGTTTTGGAAGAGATGTTAAGCAGGAGTCCTGACTACTTGGTCTGTAAAGCTCCAATGATACTGATTACCAGGGCTTTGGTGTTAACCACATTGTAATGGCTAAATCCCACCGTAGGTTTTTACAATTTGGCCCACCAAAAATTAATTCTTGTGAGGCTAATGTCAGATATTATGTATGTTTTCTCTGGAAGAAAACAGGAGCATATCATGTAATCTCATAAAAGCTAAATGAATAATCTCCCATAGGGAATAATCACAGGATTTTATATAAATGTTTCCCCCCTTTAATATGTTATACATGTTCTATCAACCACATAATATCTGAGAATGTCATTATCGTCTGTGGGCCTTTTTTTTAAACAAGAAATACAAAGTGAGAGAGGGTTTTGTGCAGCACGCAGACGCATCTGCAACCCGACCTAGTGCTTTCCCAAGTTCATTAACGACAAGTGCTGTGCACCATTCTAGCCATCTCTCTGATTCATTGAAAGCAAAGCTTCAAAACTGACACAGTACAACTTTAAACCCAGCTTAGCAGCTTTTAATTTCCTGTTTTACCTTTTCAATTGGAAAAAGACAATCTACTGAACAGTTGTCTTTTGACCAGCAAAACAAAGGAAGAGGCTGTATTTGTGACTTCTGCCAGACTGTCATCAGACACAGCCCTCGTCATTGCTATAATGCCAGCAGGGATTTGGTGGCACACAAGGACATCACATGACTGGTTCCAAGTGACGTTTAGCCGAAATAGAGTCCCCTTGAGGAGAACTACAGCATGGACTCAAAATAGAGCAAGCTGTGGACGACTCAGACTTCTAAAGGAGGTCAAGGAGAAAAAATATAATGATTAAAATGGCAGACCGAATGGAAAAGAAATTTTGCGATTTTGAATGGCATGTTTTTTCTGATGACATTTTTGTTAGCAGTGCTTTCATTGGATGCATAATTTCTACTACTATAAGAGAACTGACCTATTAATATTGCAGAATTTGTACTTATTGTATATAGACCATGAGTCCCTTGTGGTAGAAGGATCATTGTTGGGAAATATTTCTGGCACAATTGATTTCTGTGAAACTGGTGTAAATATTGCTGCAAGGTAGAGGAATAATAAAATATTTATTTTAAAACTCCTTAAATGGAATTAAACTGTACTCAGGGGGGAATGCAGCAATGTATCTTGCTATTAGATTGTTTTATTTAGTGCATCTTATTTGCTTTAAAGCTCTGCATTCAAACAAAAAAAACATTTGTACCTAATTGCCAGCATTTTCTTAAACTCTAATGACCATTACGGAATTGTTTTGACAATGAATTTTGTCTAACATGAGAATGAAGAGAAAAAATATCTATAAAGGAAAATGCTCTGGTTATTGACCCAGTAGGCTGAAAACAGTCAATGTAAAACAGTGTGGCTGTTATTGATGT